TGGCTTTCCGAAAAATTGCCGGGCCAAGTTTTCGGGGAAATTTGGGGATTTGTTCGAGTCGAAATTTCTCGGAAATTTCGTGTCGGGTGTTTCCGTATGCTTGCTTCTCTTTGTGTCTCCTAGTCTGTTTCTGTGTGTCCGTATTTATCTATTTCGTAATCTGTCTTTCTCTGTTTATCTTTGTGTAGCTTTGCGTATCCCAATTTGTTTCTTTTTGGTGTTTGCGTTTCTCTGTCTTTATTTGTTTGTTTGTGTTTATCTGTTTCTCGGGTTGTCTCGGTTTGTCTCTGTTTGTCTCTATGTGTTCGTGTCGTTCGTCCTTATTTTTTTGCGTCTTTTTGTATCTTTTTGTTTATTTCCGCATGTCCGCGTTTGTTTATTTGGGTAATGTTTGTTTATATTTTTGTATGTTTGTGTTTGTTTCTACGGGTCGGTTTATAGAAATAGCACACTGCCGCATTATTGCATGTTGTATTTATTTCTCTCTTTCTTTCCCTTTTTTTTCTCTCTTCTTTTTCCTCTCTCTGTTTATAGAGATAGCATACTGCCGCATTATTGCATGTTGTATTTACTTCTCTCTTTCTTTCTCTTTTTTTTTTTTCTTTCTTCTTTTTCCGCTCTCTTTTTCTCTTTCTTTCTCCTGGTTTTCCTTCTTTTTCTCTCTTTGTCTCTCTCTTTTTCTTTTTCTCTCTTTTTCTCACTCTCTATTTTTCTCTCTTTCTCTCTCTCTTTTTCTCTTTCTCTCTCTCTTTTTTCTCTCTTTCTCTTAGAAAAAAGAAAAAGAAAGATTTCTCTTTTTTTTTTCCTCTTTTTTTTTCTCTTTCTTTGATGCTATTTTATCGCCCACAGGACGAGGGATATTTTGCCTAGGTCTTATTGGGATATTGATTGGTTTCTTCCGGACTCGGAGACACTTTTGGGAAGCCATTGCCTCCACTTCGGGCTCCGTTAGCAACAATTCCTCCTGCCATGGGTCTCTTTCTTTCTTTCTCTCTTTCTCTTTCTTTCTCTTTCTCTTTTTCTTTCATTCTCTCTTTCTCTATCTCTCTCTTTTTCTTTCTCTCTTTTTTGTTCTTTCTCTTTTTTTTTTTTTTTCTTTTTGTTTCTTTTTCTTTTTTTCCTTTTTTTTTTTTTCTCCTTTTTTTTTTCTATGTTGGTTTTGTTTTTTCTCTTTATTGTTTAAATGATTTGTTTTTCCTTTTATTTCTTTTTTGTTCTTTTTTTTCGCTCTTTTTATCTCTTTTTTTTCCTTCCTCTTTGTTTTTTTTTTATTGGTATTGCCATTGATGGAATTAACGAATTGTTTTTAGTATTATATAGATTGGATTGTTTTAAATTTGAGCATTTAGTGATAGAGATTGTTGATATGTGTTATTGGGATATGAAATCCGAAAATCTTTTGGTCGTTGTTTTCGATCGATTTTTGGATACGTTATATGGATTTGCTTTGGCTGAAAGATTTATGGAAGAATAGGAAATAACTTTTTAGAGGAATGGAGCGATTTGTTTTAAAATTGGAATTGATTTTTTTCTTTTTGTTTCCTAGGTTTTTTTTTGGTTTAGCCTTAAAAAAGGGTGTTATATAAGGGTATTTAAGTGATAAGATTCAGGTTAATGACGAGATGGTGAAGTTGGCCGATTTTGGTCTAGCTTAAGAGATTTAAACATATGATTTTTTAGGGTTGTGGAACGAATATATCTATGAAGGACGTTTTTTGGGAGATTAGATAAAATATTTTATTTTGATATTCCGTTATTATTTTGGTTGAAATATTGTGCCCGTTTTGCGAGAGTTTGGCGATGTGAGAATTGATTGTTACGATTAGCGGTGTTTTTCTTAATGTTTTGAGCGAAATTAGTTCGGTTTTGTTTGTACCTAGGATGTTTTCTGGTCGATGAAATTTTCGTATGCGTTGTAATAGTTGTGTATGGGGATGATCCTTTGAGGTTAACAATCTACGGGTCTATTCTCCTCCCCTTGTTTAGGCGACCGTTTTTCACTGACTAAATGTCTACATATTGGTATCGGACACTTGAGACACATTATTGTTTTGTGTATCGTAGTGCTTTAGGAAATATACTGAGGTGGTGCTGAGAAGTTCTATCTATAATTCGTTTTTAAATATTTGGGTCTTTAGAATTGGGTTTCTAGTTTAGTGCAATGTATAGTCTTTCGAAGGGTTTTGCTTGGGCAGGGTCCAAGGCAAAAGCTCGAAATCGTAGTTATTTATTTTCTCGAAATATTCCGAAACCGCCTTTTGTCAAGCACTTGCTCGGGCTGCCTATTTCTGTCTCTGTGAGTATATCGTACATATCTATCTATAATTGTTAAATTGGCATGTTTTCTAATTTTATAATCTGATTTTGTTATTCTCCTGCCATGGACTTCATCTCGCACGCTGCTGGAAAGTAACGGGCCCCCGCTAATATATATTCTTACCAATTTTTCATTAATGATATAATTATTTTTAAATACAAGATTATTAACACATTTTATATATATAATTTTATTTCTCACAATTTTAAAATCTAAATGATTTCGCTTATCCTCCATCGTTTTACCAAAACAAACATTATTTATTAACTTATAAACATCTTTTTTTAAATCATTTCTAGCATTTTTTTTCTTCTTAATATTAAATTTAATATATGGTTTTAAAATTTTGTTTTTTTACTTAAATATAATTATTCTATAAATTTTCTTTTTTTTTTTTTTAGATTATGAAATTTTAATATAAATTATTTTTTTGTTTGTTATTTAAATTTAAAATCAATTTGTTTGTTTTCTTATCCATAGGTTTCTTATGATTTAACAATTTATAGATTTCAATTTATTTATCTAATAACATATCGGCTTTAACATTCATAACCTCAAGTGCCATTAAATAATCATTATATAAATCATATGATTGTTTAAAATATTCTATATCCATTTCAAAAATATATAATATTATTATTTTTATAATTAATTATATTTTCTTTTTGTAATATATTCCTATCTCAAATTTGTGTATAGTAATTCTTATATTATATTTAGCCCATATAAATTATTAATATCCAAATAATTAATATCATGGTTTTTCTTTTTATTTTTTTTCTATATATTTTATTATTTATTTCATTTTTTTCAATAAATACCATACATATCTCTCCTCTAAATCCTATCTCTATCATTTCAATATATACCTTAATCATAAATTATATCAATCTCTTAATCATAAATTATCTTACCAATTATAATACAATAACCATTATTTGCTTTTATCTTTTTATCTATATTATTATACAAACTCAATAAAAATAATTTCTTTAATAAAACAATTAAAACAAATGAAATTATCTTTAACATTCAAACTTTCAAAACTCATATTTATAAATATCTCACTATTCTAAACTATAATAATATCTATTTCATTAATATTATTTAATATACCAATATTTTAAATAATTAATATATTTTTTTCATATTATAAAAACATACTAATATTTTAAAATATTTATTACACAAATTAAAAATATAAATACTATAAATACAACCTCTATACTTATTAATAAAATAATAATAATCATAAACCTTTATATATTTCTTTATTTCCTTAGTATTATTATTCTTCATTCAATATTTATTCCCATAAATATAGCATTTACTAATCTACAAATCAAAACTCCAAAACAATAATCTATTAATAAACAAAACAAACTATAATATAATAGGCAAATCAATCCAAATCTTCAAATCGAGATATTCGAAGACATAAACAACAAAACAAAATCAAGAAATAAAATCTCGCCCACCCACAACCCAACACCACTTTAAACACAAAAATTAAAACGAGACCAGACACACAAAAAAATTGAAAATCTCGATCCAAAAAATATAAATTCCTTATAATTCAAAGAATAACAATTCTACTAAACATAAACTCAAAGAAACAATCATAAACATCATCCTTAAAATATACCTCCAAAATCACCTATACAACCAAACACCTCCCAATACCTTTCATAAACCAAATAATAATTTCTCAAAAAAACAAATAAAACTTAGATTCCAAATTAGGTTTATGTAAGTTTAAAATATATATTCAATCTTTTAAATCATATATCGATTCCACTAAACATAATATGTTTTGCATTCTTAAAATCTTCCTTATTTTCATTATTTGTTTCCTTTTTTTTTTCCTTCCATACAATAATATCTTGACCCCAATATATAATTTCATTTTTTTTTAATAAACAACATTCCATATTCCATATAAAACCATATAATTTATATTTTTATTTATTTATTTTTTATAAACTATTTCAATTCCTCTATTTAATATTCAAAATCAATCTAAATAACAAAAAACATCTTAACTTTTTAAAATAGAAAATACAATTTATCTTTTTATAAAATTTAAATATAAATATTTACTACCATTTTTTCCATATATCCATTATTATAATATATATTTCTTAAATTCATAATTTCATAAATTTGAAGAAATAATAAAATAGTGTTTATTATTTTTTTTATGAGATTGATAATAATGTATAAATTGTTATTAGTAGAAAATTAAGAAATATTGATTTGTTGAGAGTTGATGATAAAGATTATAATTATTTTATATAAATAAAACAATGAATAGATATATAAATAATTAAAATAATTATTATGTAAATATGTCTTTTCTTCTACTTTAAATACACCATCATCATCAGAAAAACAATTCATTTACTTCACCCATAACTTTACACGCCGACCAGCACCGCTTCAACTTTTCTAAGACCCTCCCCTGGCGACATCAGACCCACAAACCCAACAAAGCAACAGCAAGGCAACTCGGAGCTCAGATATTTTGCATCTGGCATGCATTCTGAAGCAAGGCCTGCAAGGTTGGCCCCCCGACCGCAATTGCTTACCAAGCATCACGGCCGCTAAAGAGGTCAAATTCTGGAAGCTCATTAAACCCCGCCCAAGTTTTAACGAACTGCTGCAAACGTTGACACAAAACATGGCAAGATCAGAACGAACGGCTACTTGGGCAGAGTATTTGTGCACGTTCACATTGTCCGTGTCACAGCAAAGTGGTCGTTGGCATCAATCGCGCGTTAGACCCACACCCATCAACCTTTCACCTGTGTAGCTCAAACGCCCATGCAGCACCACATGGTTGTTGATGATGAGGAGATCGCCCGCCTTGCAAGTCCCATTTTTGCAGTACGATTTTCAGGGAAACAACATCATGAGATTCAGCCCTGCGCCAACCAGGCCCAGGGCCTGCCGCGCCACCGGATACCCCCCCTACATCACATTTTTGCCATGACAAGGGATACATGTTTGAGAAAAAAAGGCCCGAGCCAGACAGCCATACGGGCATGCCTGAAATAGTAAAACATCACGTGAACAAAACACAGACTGGAAACACTAGACCAACCACTAAAATCCTTGCTGAACAGGCCGCGGCAGCTTCGATCCAATGGACACGCAGACCGTCCAGAGCCCTTCAGAAACCTTCGGAAGCCGAACCTTAACATCCAGCAAACCGGGGGGCCTTGAGAACAATCCGAAACCCGAACCACTTAGAACTTGGAGCCGCCAACCCCCCTTTGCGCCCCCGCAAAAACCAGGCCTGCCACTGGAACACTGTAGCAGCATTCCAAACTGCGCTCATAACATGCTCCAAGATCTTGTCATTGATGTACTCATCCGAATCTCCCCAGAGCCACTTGAGAGAGTATATATTTTGCAGCTGCGATCTATAGATCTCCCTTCCTTCTACCTCGTGTACTGCTTGGAGAAGTCCGCTACGCATTAAGATGTTGCCATGCTCATCCACGTCAACCTCGCCATCAAACTGCTCTGATGCTTTCTTGATGGCACTTGTCAAATCATCAGTGTCAAAATGCGATTGCCAACTCCTTGTGAACTGGACAGGGTTGCCTGGCTGAGCGGCATTTCCTCTCACCATCTCAAACTTCACACCCCGACGGCGCAATTGCTCTCGGGTGTCTTCCGGCAGTAAGTCCCAAACATTTCCTGCGTGGGCAAGGGGTGTCTGACCACCCTCCGGAGACGGAGCCTGGCAATATAAGACCAACTTGCTTGGCGGCTGTTTGGACACAATGTGCTCCTGGTGGGGAGCAATATTAATGTCCGGCTCCACAGCCAGAGACGAATGACATAGCGTGTCTGCCACCTTTTCTCGACCGCTCGGGTCAGGGTAAATGGCGTAGCCGAGAGCAGCGATGAAGTCACTGGCATCCGAAAACGTCGGCAGGGGAAGGCCACGAAATAGTATGGCTCCTGACGAATGCTCCTCGATCTTTGCCCGAGCTGCCACTGCTAAATGGGCGAGCGAGAACTTGGACGGCTGCCAGCGAAGAATGAGCGGAAGACTTCCGTTTCCCGCCAAGCTGGCGGGCAAATGCATGTTGCTCACTTGCTCTCGGTCCTCCGGACTCCCCACGTGCCATGTCGCCACCCCAAGCCCTCGGCCGTCTCGAGACCGCAATGGTACAGAGGGATCGCTCAGTGGCTGTATCTTGAACATGTCAGAAGGCGCTCGACGGAGTTCCACTCCAAGACGATAGGGGAACAAATACACAAACCAGCCATGCACCACCGCTCCAAACAACGACATGGCACCGAGCAAGGCATTCACTTCAGCGACTGTCTGAGCTTGGTTGAAAGCAGAGAAGAACTCATTGAATGTGTCACAAATCATGTGAAGGCTGAGCGATCGCAAATAAGGGAGGTTGGAATCCCCAATTCTGTTGACGACTCGCTTGATGATGTGGAGATCCTTCAAAGCAACGCCCTCGTCGAACAATGAAGCAAGAGAGTTCACCACTCCACTGTGCGCATAGGTGCTGAGCACCATGAAAACACCATTGGCTATCACCATTGGAGGGAAGATGTAGCCTTCAGTACCCTCCAGACCAAGGGCATCTCCTGTGAACATTAGCTTCACCAGTTCCTGCGGCGCCACCAGCCAGTGGTCGGTCGTCCGGGATCGAATGACCGCCACTACATCGTCAACCGCATGGTTGCCAGTGAGTTCATCTTTGAAAAGTGGCCCAGCGGCAAGTTCCCCAAAGGTGAAGGTGAGCGTAAATGGCTCTTTGCTTGTGCCATGCAATTGTTCTGCCCAAACCTTCTTGCCAAAATCCTCCAACGCAGGCAAATCCTCTGCAACCACAGAGAGTATGGGTGGCATGAAGGATTCATGGTCCCGACTTGTGCCATATGTCAGCACGACCATTTGGTCATGACGGAGGAAAAGGGTTCCTGCCTGAGACAAACTGCGAGCTTTCAGTCCATTTCCTGGCGTCGAACCCATCTTGAACTCATTGCGCAGAGTAGGCATGAGCACAACGAGGTTTCGCCCAGACGAGACTGTGTGGTACACCAAACTTTGAAAGGGTACCGCTGCCTGGAAGGCTGCGACAGTTTCTGGTGTTGCATCAGGATGCCAGGTTGTCTGCAAAGCGGGACCGCTTGAGAGTCTTATCGAAGGGCATTTGAGGACAGGTGCAGCGACTTCACCAGATAATCCAAAGGCACCGCCAAAGCTAAGGAGAAGGATCAACATCATCTAGGATCTGCCGCGGATAGAGCCCAATTGCAGCTACGCCAAACAAAGGTTATGACATGCGCAGAATCGTCACAGTTGCACTGATAGCATCTCAAGTTTGCGCAAACAGTTTCAAGTGGCAGCCCTCAAAGCATACACCAAGCAACGCATTGCGCAAAGAAACAGCATGTTCAGGTGGTGTTCAACGATCTTAGCAAGATTGCACGTAGCGCTCATCACTACAATCAAAACCAAAACTCTATGTCCATTTGTCAAGCAAACAGTTCATAACATGTCCAACATTCAGACTATTAGTCAAAGGAAGTTTAGCTAGATCAGAGTCAGAAGATAGGAAGATAGAGTTGAAGAGTTGATCAGAGCCAGAAGATAGAGCCCGACCGAATCGCGAAGGGTGCCTCCGTTCAGCGTGCGTTCTCGCCATGCATTTCGCCAGGTCCGGTGACAGATTGATAGATGGATAGATAGTTAGATAAAAGGACAGAAAGTACTGAAAGAAAGAAAGAAAGAGAGGGATAAGGACACGGGCACAGCATTTTCGCGAGGTCGAGTACAAAATTCGTGGCAAGCTAGATTCCCACGCGCGTGCACTGTTTCTTGCCCAGGACTTGCCCAAGGAAGAATGCTTCCAACCGAGCCAAAGCAACACATCTGTGACATAGTAATTCTGATTGCGTTGCGTAAAAGCATCCAATGCTGCCTGCTTCCTACGAAACGCTTCCCTGTGGATCAGCCTCCATGCAGCGCCCGCTTTGAAAGCTGGCAACAATGATTGAGGCCCGCATGAACGGAGAATGGCCCGAGGTCACATTTGCGATGCGTGGGAAAGAAAGAAAAGAACAATTCATGGGAAGAGTTGGCCCAGACCTATTGAGGCAAGGATTGGATGTGGGCACTTCCCAAAGGGAACAACTCAAACCCTCCGAACAGGCGCGACAAACATCTCAAACCCAAGATTTGAAGAAACCATTCAAGCTATGTGCTGGAGAAAATACATGACACAAATACATTCCCCATCCGGCCGAATGCTTTGTCCGCAAATGCCAGGCTTGCAGTTGTGCCCATCGAAGCTACTTGCTACCTCCAAGCCTATCCTCAGAGGCGCTAGCATCGTCGGCCTTGGTGTTGCATTGGCTGTCGCACTGCGTCGCTGACCCGAAGAGATTCGGACTGACTCTTCGAAGTCATCAGCCCCATAGCTATCGTCAACATCGCTGTCGCCAGCTGTCAAGACCTTCAAACCAAAGACATTCAGCGTGAGAGGTGAAAGGCCCGTGAGGCTGGCACTTTGCTGACCTTCGCCCCAGCCGCAACTTTCGCCCCAGCCTCGCGTTCTCAATTCGAGACGGTTGGCTCTGAAATGCTTTCATTTCAGCCTTGACAGGATCTCCTCTTTTATGGCCGCATTCGCGGCAGAAAATGGCGTCTGCCAAATGGACGTTGCCACACTTTGGGCAAGCCGTTTCCTGGCGATCGGCTCAAAGCACGCTGCATCCCACTGTTGCTATTGCAGGTCTGCCTCTATGGAGGAGAGCTTCTTCAAACGCTCCTCCAGACCATTTGTGGCCTAACGGGCTACATGCAGCATATGTGGCATGATTCAACGATTCCTGTTTCAGCTGAGCCGTGCGCCTTCTTGCACTCATCAGCTGCGGTCACAGCTTGTCGGACACGGTCTGACAAGTCTGCCATAGTGGCCTCTGCAAATCGAAAGAGCCCCTGAGGTTCCCGAGCCACCCCCCTCCCTCCAAACCTCCCCCTTGGTCCAGACCTTGGCTTTGCCAAGTTCAGCCTGTTGCTTCGCCAAAGCGTCCAACTCTGCCACCACCTGCGTGAAGATGCAGGCAGGCAGGCAGGCAGGCAGGCGGGCAGGGCAAGTGCAAAGAAAAACCCTCGGCACCTTCTGTTGGAGGTCCAGGATTTTGCTCTCCACCTCTGGGCCAAACATCAAGGTGCATGCCGATGCATGCAGATGCCGATGCATGCCGATGCACCGACATGTCTGGCCATTCTCAGGCACTTGCTTCTGGCCCCTTGCCCTGGCTGAGCTGCGTACGCACCTAGTGACACTTTCCACACGTCTGACTCTCGCTGACTCGCTGGTCAGGCCTTGCCCAGCTCCCCCTGGTGGGCACGCAGCTCTTGCAACTCTTGGCTGACCTGCGGAGTCGCATCATTCCAGGCTGTACTTCAGCTTCTTTGAGGGCGCAGGACCTGTTGGAATGTCTGGTTTGTTGACCCCATGGATTATTTGCGTACGTATTGATAGATGTAATCATCGGTTAAGACTACGTATCTTCAAGATCACTGAAACGGTGTGCACGCCGCCAAGAACGGCACCTCTGTATCCTTGCTCACAAAGGTGGTGTTGCAGGGTAACCCTAAACTCTAAGATATGTTTCCGGTGCGACCACGACAGAATTGGCAAGGACACCTGGCGTAAAGGTTCAATGCTTGTGAATTGCGCCCGTGGCTGCAATTTCGGAATAACCATGGCGCCGTAGCGAAATGCCACTCGGCTGGCCGCTTCCTGCCTGGGCTGCCAAGCGTTCCACGCTCCTCTCCAGCTCCTGGACTGAAAACGTCAACAAAGCCCAAGCCGCCGGCTCACGCCTGAGTGTCCATCTTCAAGCCTCTCCCGGCATCGGGGGCGGCCTGGGCGTCCTGCCATGCTCTCGGAGAGCGGTTGCAAGGCTCACGCAAGGCTCGGGCTCTGATGAGCTTCTGCTGCTGCGTGAGCTGCTCCAACTCCTCCGCCACCTCACGGACTCGCGGGCCGGCCGCGGGCCCATCTCTTGAGAGCTGCTGACGGCGCCTGCTTCTGCAGCTCATGCACACGGAGCTCCAAGCGCCGGCCGTCGCCCTGTCAGCCACGGAAAGCAACCAGCAACGCTGGAACGCGGGGCGCAGACCATTGGGCTTCGCTTGGAATCCTGGCATTGCAATTGGGCACGGCGCCAAGACTAAGATCGCCTCTATGTCCTCGAAGCGGCTGGCCAGGTGCCGCAATGAGCTTTGCAAGTCTGCCACGTCCGAGTGCACACCCTGCAGGTCGCTTTGGCATGTCCTGGCCATCTTTCTCGCGAGTCGGATGGAGAGTCTTCGCTGCGCCTGGCCAGCCCGCAGTCAGGGCTCTCCTCGGGGTAAAGGATATCTCAAAGGTCTCAACTCGAGCGATCCGATGCCCGAAAATCCTCTTGAGACGAATCGAGCGAGCGACACATCTCCTCCATGAGCTCTTCACGGACCGCCTTGGAGGCCGCCTCACTGGCCTGCGCTCCGCTTACGCAGCACACGGTGCAAGCGGCAAGTGCCACGGCAAGACAGCAAGTCAGTGCCTCTAGCCGGTGAAGTGCATCCTCAACTGTGCCCCGGAGCTCCTCGAGTTCCTGGAGTCGAGAGTCGAGCACTGCGCAGAGATTACATTGTGTCATTGGGTCGCTGTGCGTCTTTGCTTGATGAAATCCCTTGCATGGAGCAAGACCTCAAGAGCAAGAACAACACCGCACTGCGCGCCGTGCACTGCGCCCTCCTCCGATACCTTCTTGGACGTGGATGCATCTGCCTCTCCCCCGAATTCCGCTCTTCTCTCGATTCGTCCGACTCTCTGCGACACTGTGTCTTGCTTAGCAGTTGCTTGGGTCTGCTAGGCTCAGCTCCTGCAGCTCAGCGCGAGCCTGGGCCGACACAAATTACCAGCAAGGGCTCGTGCACCCAAGGCCTTGTCGGCAAGCTGCCTCTCCAGTCTCTCCAGGTCCTGCGGGTCAGCAAAGAGTCAAGCAAGTAACCAGTGAAAACAAACTGCACAGTGAAACGCATTCTGTTGCTTCCTTCTCATTCGGAGCTCTGTCACCCTTGCGCCCTGCCTCCCACTTGGGGCTCAGCTCATCTCGCAGGTTGCTGATGCGCTCATCCGTTGCCTTCCCAATGCGCACTCCGCTCAAGTTGTCTCTCAGCTCAGAGACGGACCTTGGCCATGCTCAGCACCTCGTCCACCCGCCGGGCCAAATCTGGATCCTTCATCGCCAGCCCGACACGAGCAATGGAACAGCAGTGTGAGTGCACCACTCTCCCGAGGTTGCAAGAACTGAAGCAAGAGTAATGCAAGAGTAATGCATGGTGAAAACGGCGTTCTCCTGAGGTTCTCGGTTCTTGGTTTGACTGGAAACGATCTCTTGGACGGAGTGCACCGCTGCATCCGTAGCCTGGACCCCAGGTCCATGCTTTCCCAACCCCCTGGGCCAAGGGCCTTTGCCAAGAGCCGCTCCATCTCCTGTGAGGTGGCAGCTTGCCATACGTACCATACGTACCATACGTACCATACGTACCATAGGCACCATACGAACCAATCCACTCACTCTGGCCTTGTCTCTGCAATTTTGAGCCTCTGAAAGATCTGCACGTAGAGATTTGAGCTGCACCTTGGATGTCGGTCGCGAAAACCAAAAGGCCCACATGCAATGGAGCGACCTCCGTCTCAGCGGAGTCGACTTGGCGTGCCAGGTCCTCCACCTGAGGCCACGGGCTCGCACACTCGCACCTAACACCGGAAAGCGGAAGGGCCCCCAAGACGCGGCACCTTGTCGTTCAAGGCCTCAGCCTTGGCGACGCGGGCTTCCAGGCTTCCCAAATCCTCAGTGCATTGCATGGCCCTTGGCCCTTGGCCGGAGCCGGGAGCATCCCAAGGACGGGACGCGCGTTTTCGAGTCCTCGATTACAAGAGAGCTTCCACTGCCGCACCCACTCACTTCCGCCTCGCGCGCTTGAGCCTCGGCTGCCTGGCAACATGCCGAAGACACGCCGCTTGGGACGCTTCTGGGACACCTCCACTCGCGCGATCATCCCCTCCATGATCTTGGCCAGATTCTGACTCGAATCTTCCAGGGCACCATGATGCGATTGGACCTGGCAAGCGGACATGCCGCCAAGGCAGACAAACGCAAACATCTTGGCCTGGCCTGGCTGATGCCGCCGGCCATCTTCTGTAAGGATTCAGATGTGCGGGTGTCCTGCTCCTCCAAATTGGGCCGTCAGGCTGCCCAGACCCAACGCATCGCACCGCATTACACGCATTACACCGCTTGCTCCTCCAGCTTTGCCGAGAGGAGCTGCACCTGCGAATGGAGCTCCTGGCCTTCAGTCTGCAAGTCCGGAAGGCGATCGACAGTCGACGTAGGCCCCCGGACGCTGTCGCGCAAGACCTTGCAGGTCGTTGTGCAGCTTCTCCGCCCTCTCCTAGCCACAGGCATGCAAGCTCCAGCCATTCATGTGCTGCACAACCAAACTTCCTGCTCCACGACGAAGTCGAAGCGTAGCGCTTGCAGGCTGCTTCCGCCTCAGCCAACTGTCCTAGATTGCCCTAGCTGATCAAGCACATTTGTCTCACTGTCGGTGAGAGGCAGTGGAGATAAGGGTCGAACTGCTCTCTGCGGTCTTCAGAGCTGAGGAGACGCCCTCGGCAAGACTGTCAAGCCGCGCCAGCACCTGAAGGCAAGCGCTTGGAGCTGCACGCCTTCCATTGCTTCAGGTGCCTCCTCTGGCAGTGCTGCGCTTGGGACTGGACCTCTCAAAGACATTTGAGACACTCCTTGCTGTCGCTAGCCGTCGCCAGCCGTCGCCAGCTGTCACTGGGCATGCTGCCAGCTTGGCGTGAGCTGGTAATCTCCAAGCTCTCCAAGCGCCGCGTGACCTCCTCGAGCTTAGCCTCATGTAACCCCTCCGAAAGGCGTTGGGATGCGCTCACGGGAAAATGCCACGCCTGACCAATGGTTTGTGGTTGGCTCTCTGCTTCCTGGACAAGAACGGCCAAGAACAAACGTGGCAAGAGGTTAAGGACGGCACCACTTCTACCATGCGGGCGGAAAGTTCTGCCAACTGCTGGGAGATGGCCTGCGAAGCCGAACAGTACAGCTCTGTGCGAGCCTATCGCACGACCAACTCCTCGAACGGTGGCCCCTTTGCAGCAAAGCGGAACCATCGCGACATGACCATGTCAGATGCCTCGAGCCCGGCTTGCGTCACAAAGCCCTCAGCTCCCTTCTCCACCTGACGGAGGCAGCTGAAGTGCTGTCACAACGAGCGCGCTGAGGTCGCGGACTGCAGAGTTGGGATTCATTTTGTCCTAAGGTGGCTCTCTCGCTTGTCAAAAGCGTGACTCGCGAACGCGAGTGCCTGGAGCTGCTCCAGTTTATGCTCCAACCCGCTCGTTCCTCGGCACTTCGCATTAGCTTCGCTCTTCGAAGACAACTTATCTCTTGACATCTGACCCTTCGAGCATCTCGTGAGGCCGTGACGAGCTTCATTGCTCGCCGTCCGCTGGGACAGGCGGCGCAATGGCCTCAGATGTGGTACCTTTCTCTTGGCTCGAAATCACATGCTCATGTTGGCAAAATGGAGGCATGCTGAGGAGTCACGTGAGTCAAGGGAGCAAGCAAGAGGTGTCTGAGGTGCCGTTTCTTTGCTTCTAAGCGCTTTCCATTGCGCGCCCCCGCCAACCCCGGGTCGCTGACTGTTGGAGTTCTTGAACTGCTAAATCCAAGCGATGGAGCTCTGCTCGATCTGCCTCTTTGCGAACTCGGGGTAGTGTCTGGGTTTCTCGGGTTTTTCACTGAGGCTTGGCGGTTTGGCCCTGGCCTTCTCGGACATATTGTCATCTCCAAGGCCATCCAGGCGGTTCTCCAACCTTCGCTTTCCGACGCGTCAAATGGAGGGAGGCATCGGGTGACTCGGTGACTGGCCCTTCCAGCCGCACGAGCACTCCACAAATTTCCTGGTGCAGCACAACGTCACAGCTGGAGGCGTCATTCTTGGCTCCTCGTCTCGCTGGCTCTCAAGCGTGGCTTCCAAGCGCCGCAGTTGCTGATCCTGGCAACTCAAGCCGTGCGCAACCGAGTTGCGCCAGCTTTGCTCCTGCATGGTGCAGGTGTCGCGGATACGCTGTAGCTCTGCGCCCTGAGTGGATTCCAATGAATTCTGGTCAGGCTTCCTACCAGGCCTCAGCCGCATCTCTGACAGGAAGCCCAATCTCACAGGGTGCACAGCACCAAGTTCCAAGCTTTCCAAGCTTTCCCCTGGCCTGGTCTCGAAGCTCTCCCATGGTCTCGTCATTGGACTCGGCCATATCTTTGAGCTGCCTGCCAAAGAAGCGGCCAGCGGACGAGCTCGATCGACTTGCACTCCTTGCGAAGTGCTCGAAGCGTTGATCCATGTCGGCGCGGTCCGCGCTTCTGAATTGCTGCATTTCCGTGCGGAGCGCCTACAGGCAACGGACATAGATTCTGGCAGCGCCTAAAACGGAGGTTCCCCAAGTATCAACATGTCACGATCTGTCGAGACACGGAAGCTTCGCATTCGCGTGAAAGGCCCTCGCGCCTCCAAGCTGGGTCCCACCACCTTCTCGAGCCGCTCCCCGGCTGCAAGCAGGCGCTGCTCCTCAAGTCAACTGCAACTCGCCCAGCGGCCAAACCACATGGGCAAAACGCACGGGAAAAACACGTGCCACACGTCACCTGTGGCCGTGCCTGGCTGTCGGTCCGCACCCGGAGATTGGCCAGCGCCGCGGAGTGCTCGTCCAACTGGAGCAGGCGGACGCGAGCGGATAGGCGCAAGCAAGTCGTGCATGGCACCCAAGGCAGGGCCTGGGCGGCCAAATGCTTGGACAGCGTCGCAAGCTCAGTCTCCAAGGCCTCAGTGACTCAGGCTCCCAGAGTCTCAGACATATTCCAGGCTCTGCGGTTTGTTCTACCCTTTCCTTCGGAAATAGCAACCTGTTTGGCCCGCGCTCTCTCTCTCTCTTTCTCTGAGACTCCGGCGTGAGCGGCATCCGACTCAGGCCTCAGTACGAGAGGCAAGCAAGCAGCCTAGAGTGAATCTGGCCGGGGCATCTTCCGAGGGCTCAAGGCCTTCCGTATCAAAGTCGACAACAAGCTGAGAGGAGTGCTCGGCATCGTGTCGGTCCCAGACTTTGAATCGTTTCGCTCTGGAGGTTGAGTCGTGTCGGCTCTAAGATTATCTTGCTTTTCTCATGTGTTGTGGTCCTGATTGTTGCCATGTCTGTGGCTATCAAGTCAGGTCTTACAAGAAAATTGTCATCCTTACAGGTCTCATACTATACCCACAACTTCAAGCTCTAAATCTCCCTGCCACCAAGCCCATAACCTTGGGATGGCCTGAGCGACCGCGGAGGATGCAGCCACATTGCGGAACTCTTCTTCCAAGCTTGCCTCATGGAATCAGAGGTTTACACTCACTGCATGTCTCACATGACCCTTTGTTCTCATAAGGCCAACAAGCAGTCCTGAGCAAACTTGCACTCCTTTCAAATTCGTTTTAGCAATGCTTGAAATGGAATGAGTTGAATGAGTCTGGCCGTCTGCCTGCTGACCCTCCAGCTCGGAGAGGCGGGCCTGAGGCAATTCACGTGTTTGCTCGTTTGTTTCCGGGCGGGCCATGCTCGCCTCCAGCCGACCCAAGTCCTGGCTTGTTTTAGCATGGCGCCTTTTGAATGGATCGTGCAGCGCTCCTGTGGTCGCCGCATGTCCTCCAGTGCTGCTATCCTGCGCGCTTGCTCCTGACGTCGGGAGCCCTCACCGGTCAAGAGTGAACAAACCGCTAAAGCACGTTAAAGCACGTTAAAGCAATAAATAAAGCAATAAAGCAATAAATCGATAAAGCAATAAATCGCTAAAGCACGTTGAAGCTTTAACAAAGGACTGGCCCTTGAAGGCCTCGCCGGTCTGAGCGACCTTGCGGAGCTTGGCCGTCTGCCGCTTCGACATCTCCTCGATTGACTCGTTGCCACTATGGAACCCCGAGTTCACATCCCTTCAAATGGAAGCAAACGTCCCTTTTCACAAGAAGCAAACGCCAATCCCGCGCCCAGCCAAAAAACACGCACTTGGGTCCGCAAACGCAGTCCGGAAACGGCACGGCAAGTTCCCACTGCTGTCCGGCGTTCCCAGTTCGTCAACGGCTCGGTGCGTGCACCGCTGGCGCGCACTTGTTCAACAGGACGAGCCCGACCGTTTCCAGGAGGAGGATGTCTGCAGCCGCGCAAGCCACGCGCTTCCGCGGCGCGGGCAAGGTCGGGAGAGGCCGAGCAAGCGGAGGCAACCCGACTCGGTTCATGTAGTTGAGTCTACCAGACGCCTGCTGCTGCTGCTGCTCCTGCTGCTGATGCTTGCACGCAAGCGCGGATCTCACCCTTTAAGCGCTTCACGCACTGGTGCAAACTGCCGGGCTCCTCCTTGGAGCACGCTGGGCCGCTGCTTGCACGCAAGTGCGGATCTCACCCTTAAACGCTTCACGCACTGGTGCAAATTGCCGGGCTTCTCCTTGGAGCACGCTGGGCTGATGCTTGCACGCAAGTGCGGATCTCACCTTTTAGACGCTTCACGCACTGGTGCAAATTGCCGGGCTCCTCCTTGGAGCACGCTGGGCTGATGCTTGCACGCAAGTGCGGATCTCACCTTTTAAACGCTTCACGCACTGGTGCAAATTGCCGGGCTCCTCCTTGGAGCACGCTGGGCCTTGTGCTACTCGTCAGCGTGTTCTCGTGTGCATCTTTCTCGGCGTTCGCTGCGCTGGTCAGTCCGTCTGTCAATGTGTGTCAGTGTGTCAGTGTGTCAGTGCTTCAGTCAGTCAGTCAGCCAGCCAGCCAGCCATTCAGTCACTGAGTCAATCAGCGAGCGAGCGAGCGAGGGAGGGGGATTGAGTGAGTGAGTGAGTGGGTGGGTGGGTGAGCGAGTGAGCGAGCGAGCGACTGGGGTGAGCGCCAAAACTAAGCAGCGCCTGGAGGCCAAGATTGCCACGTGTTGAGTCGAGTGCTCGCAAGATGCAAGATGCGGTGGGCCAACGAAGCAGAGAAGTTGCACTAAGAGCAAGCAGCCGCTGCAACTCAAAGTTGGACTTTCAAAATGTCAGCCTCTACAGCCGGAAAGGCCGGACTTTCTTTGCGGTAGGGTTTCAATGTCACGTCGGGCCCCGGTGACGCTGGGGAAGTTGCTGCGTTTCGCCGCCTCAAAGCTGCTCGCGCTTATGCCCTGGGCAGCCCTGGGCAGCTTTTGGAAGGTCGCAACCATTTGAAGCCCTTGATTCAGAATAGACGCACGGAAACCAAAAGGTCTGGTGAGCCATGAGCTCACCACTTGGCTTTGGAGAACCTATGGGTTAGCGCCTTCATCGCAGCCACTACTGCCCCCGTGGAGAACATCATTGGAACGCTCCGCTCTTGAGCTATGGGGCGCAAGGACACCTTGCCCTTTGCAGGTTAGGACCTCACTCCGGTCTTCATGAAAACGAAGAGAACACCACTCTTCTTGTTGGGCGCTTGTCAAAAAGGCAACCCACTGGAACAAGAGACCCAGTTTTGGGTTGTCGATGATTCTATCTATTCTTGGCTTTCTTGGGTGCTACTTGTAGGCGGTTCCTTTGCCAGCAGAGCTACATACGACTTTGGCTTGGGGGACATGTCGGACATGTCGGCTCACTTTGGTTGCGCGGCGGGGCCAAGCAAAACCCAAGCGCCGACAGAACACACAACCGCCGAGAGGTGACGCATGGCACGCATGGTGGCTTCCCAGGCCTCATCCAAAGGGATCCACGCCCCAAAGAGCCCTCATAAGACCCTAGGTATGTGAACTGACTGAACTGAGATGCCCTCAATTGTTGAATGAACTGAATGCACTGAGATGCCCTCATTTTTTCTTGCTTCGATTGGAGTCGGGCGGGTTCTCGTTGCAGATGCCTCGAAGGTGGACACCGCCAGCTGCACCTTCTGCTGCTGGCCGTGCAGCTGCTGCTCGAGCTCCTGACTTGTCAAGCGTCTCGTCCAACTTGCCTACCATTTGCTTTGCTTTTGCGGGTTTTTCTTTGGAGAGGCACAAGGACCGTCGCTTTCAACTCCGGAGGTCGTTTCAAACAAAACGCGGCGATCCCAACTCCCCGGCTCTCAAGCTGAGGCTGCTGCGCGGGCCCGCTGCCGCAGTGATTCCTCGCAGCTGGCGGTGCGAATCCTGCAGAAGATGAGTCAAATGAGCCAAATGAGTGGCAACTGAAAGTCTTGTGACATCGCAAGAAACGATTCAAACATGCGCATCATGCGCATCCGTCCTGAGCTTCTCATCCAGGCCTTCAACCCTGCGAACAAGGCTGGCCACTTCCTCCAGCAGGCCGCTGACGCTGCCCTGGTCTGAGAGCGGACCGCGGACGGCGTACGTGACATACGTGACATACGTGACATACGTGACATACGTGCAACCTTCACCCCGAACATTCGACAGGTTGATGACGATGCCTGCAGGTCGGCCCACCGCTCGCGGCTGGCAGCGGGGGCTGCCAAATGCTCCTCGGTCACATGCGGAAACTGAAGATGAATGAGCGTGTTCTTGCAAGAAACTTGAAAAGCCAACTTCATTCATTCTCGCATATTATATTTATAATATCCGTTCACTTTATGAGGGGGCCTTTCGAGTTCAGGTCCTGCAAGCGCCGGTCGAAGTGCTCGAGCTGCCGCTGCACGGTGCGCCGGTCTTCGGCGGATTGGCGCTGCAGCTCCGCGAGCACCATGCCCAGCCGAAGCCTCCAGCGCGACGCGTCGCGACGCGTGCCGGGCGCGCGACGCGTGGCTTCAGGAGGCAAAACACGAGACTTCAGGAGACAAAATTAATTCGTTGACGATCGTTGACGACTTCGCGTATTTCTTCGGACTGGAATTGGGCGCCCAGCTCTGCTTGATGCTGCCGGGGCGTCCTGCGGCTCTTTTTGATCGTGCCGATCTCGGGCTGAGCTCCTGCCTCGGCGAGGCCATGGCCTCACCCCAGGCGGTCAGAGGTCCTTTCGATTTCAAGCGGAGCTTAAGTAACAACCGTAACTTGCAACCAATGGTAAGAAACAAATTCAAGAAACACTTGTAAAGAAACAAACTTGTCAAGAAGCAATTGCTGCGACGTCCTCGGTGCGTCATTGCTCCGGAGGCTGACCGGCTTTGCCTAAGATTCGTGTGCGCATAACCTGACCCAACATCCCACGACATGGGCAGAACCGGGCAGAACCCACCGGAAATGCGCTGAGGCGGAGGCCCAGCAGTGGTCGTCTGTACAGGGCTCATGGACCGGCCCCGGAGGTTGGGCGACGCCAGCGGCTCCACCGATCCTCCGATGCCAGATATCAAAAACTCCCCTGTGGGATCCCAAATCTCCACACCGACTTGAACTGCGTCCAATCAAGATCCCGCCTCCGTTGGCCTGGCCCTTGGTCTCCATAGCGGCCGCACGGCAAAAAATGGGACCGGATGACCGGATCCAAGAGCTGCGGTCGAGCGTGGCAGCATGTGGCAGCACACGGATACATTCACAGCACCGATTCTGCACGAATGCTCCGCAGTGCTCCGCATTGCACCGCATTGCTCCGCATAGCTCCGCTTTGGCTTGCACTTGCCGCATCCAGGCGTCCAGGGACCTTTGGCTCCAGCCTGCCTGCCAGGTGCCCTAAGAAATGGGAAAGGACTAAGCAGTGGAACACCTGGCAGGCACCAGCCAAAGCTTCCTGAGCTATTCTACTGCATGATCCAGACTGAGCGAAGCTTGTCACAAACGACAAAGCCGTCCCGACTCCTTGCACTGGACTTGTGTTGGTGGCTCAAAGCTGAAAATTCTCTGAAACGGATGAAGGCTGGAATTGATCTGCGTTGGATGCTTGCATCTTTCTCTTCCCTCATGGAGGGGGTGAAAATCCTTCCTGTGCCATCAAGGCGTGACTTCGCAAGCACCAGCCCCTTTGTCATCAATGTAGACCTGGAACCCCACCTCAGCTGTGCCACGTTCATGTCCCGCAGTCACCCTGCTACCAGGCCTGCACACCCTGCATCGGGTTGAGGCCAGGAGACAAATCCGACCTACGGAAGTACAGGAGGCTGTCCTGAGTCGGATAGCGGGCAGCCATTTCGTATCAGTTCGTCATTTGGTGTGGCGAGCGCCTGTCCTCAGCAATGCGCTTGCCTCGCTTGCGAGCAGCTTCTGCCTGCTCCGCCAACTTGGCCACCACCTCACACGAGCGGATCCCAGCTTCGGTCGTGGATCCCGAGTTCGGCCTTCGAGGGTAGAATGGTCGAAGGGTCTGGTCTGATGAAGCCGTAACCCTGCCTGCGTTGAGCCATGAGAGGAACACACTCACACACACCAAAGCAAACACACACGTGGCGACACTGCAATGGGAGTTGGGCACAAGTATTTGTCCATTTGACGGGTGGTACCCCCTGGTTTTGTGGATGCCTTGGTTGGTCCGTCCACGCGCGAACAATATTGTCGGGGACTCATGGAACGCATGAACAGTCAGAGTACAACTCACATTTTCGGACACACATATGTATATATATATATATATATACACACACGAAACATGCATAATATCTATATGTCATGTACACACATACTATCTATGTATGTTTTTTTTTTTTTTTTAACGAATTCGTGAGGCATGAGTCGTGTTCGGGAAAGAACCGATTGATCGCCTCCAGTTCCAGAAGGCGACCTGTCCTCTATGCATCCCCACGCCCATGGAGATTCGATTCTCCAAAGCATCCTGGCAAATGAATCTATGAATTCGCATCCGGCATCCAGCGGATGCATACGGTCCTGGGTAAGAGGATGACCCCCCTGGAGGGTCATATTGTAGACCTTGTACTGACCCCTCTCATTCCTGCGGATTTCCCATGTGCATTGCTTAAGGTAATCCTGGAGGTCCTGTAGATCCCAAATTCCACAGCGACGTTCCGCATGTGCACTGGCTGCTGCCCGGCTGCATTCACCTGGCGCAAAGTGCGCAAAGCCTGGGGCCTGTCGATGCGTCGATGCGTCCCGAGCAGAGCGCCTCCTCGTGATCTACTCGCAGCTCGCTGGGGACGCTTGGATCCACATCGTAGCCTTGCGTCTTCCGGCCCTTCCGGCCCTTCCGGCCTTGCTCCCAAGGCCTTGATCCATGAGGACATACCCGAAGCCATGCCTCTCAACGCCCGAAATGGACGAAATGCCGGCTGTTCAAAACGGGCCTTGGCGAGTAGAACTTCAAGGTGCCGGTGTATCTTAAATGTTGGCCACCAACGAAAAACTTCTCATTGGCATCCAACTCATCTTGGAGGGCAACACTCATGCCGCCCACCTGGCATGCTTGAGTCAGCCGAAATGCTCGAGAAGAAATGCAATGGCCGGCGGGGCTAAGGTCACACCTTTGGCGCGAAGGGTGTTCAACCCCCTCTGCCAATCCTTGGAGATCATGAGGCTGAACTCCACCTTGGGCTCATGTTTCTCTCCCGGCCTAGAGAGAAGCGTCACCTCCAGCCCCTTCAGCAGGAACGGAAATCGGTCGTCGCTGGAGATCTGCTTCCAGTGAACGAAGACCTTCTCCGTGGGAATCTCCGTTCCCGGGGTGGGCTCGATAAACCTGCGACACAGCCCAGCCAATGGCTAGTCAATCATAGCAGCGGCACCCGTAGCCCCGGAACTTGTGGTAGAAGATGACCGTCCCAAAGTGCCGCTCATTTGCATCAACCTAAGTGCAAACAGCCATTTCTGTTGATGTCTGGTCATTCTGGTTCCTGCCTGGTAATTGGCTGGTACGGTTTGCGGCGGCCTCCTGGTCTGCCAGGCATTCCCGTGTCCAGCGCTGTTGTAGCCCACAAGCGGGAAACTGGCCCCTCGGTAGGGTAGGTTCTGCTTCAGCCATGGCTTTTGAACAGCCCAGGCTACCATTGCTGCTAGCTCCCTGGGCCGAGCGCAGCGGCAAAGCAGGTTTGCGCTCTGTCACCCTGTGCTGCCGGGTCTTTTGCATGCGTCTCCCGTGTTGGGAGTGGATGCCAACGGCAGGGGCCGGGCCACCCTACAGAGCCTTCCCTCGGGTCACTCTGCGGCCCAGCAGGTGCATCGCATCCGCGCCCTCTGGCACGTCCTCGGGCCGAAAATTCTTTTCCTGCAAATTCTAATGAGAACTTTGAGGCCCAAACGCCCAGCACCAGGTCGCACACCTGAAGCCAGGGGGAAAGTTTGACAGAGGCAGCGTTGAAGGCTTGGGGCGGCACAGCGTGCAGGAGTCGTGCACGCCCAAGCTGCTCCAAGCTCTCGAAGCGCAAGAACTTGAGCCCCCAGCCTTAGGTCCGCGCAACGGGCTGCGGCCCGTATGACAAGTGCTTGCGGGAGGTTTGGATGGAAGCAAGGGCGCTGTTGCGTAGTTTCCACAACTTTCGTGCTTGTCGCGCCATGTCGCGCCATGTCGCGCCATGTCGCGCCCTGTTCCTGTCTGAGCCCTAATTCGCCTTGGCCCGGGCTGCAGAGTTGCGGCCTTCGCCTCAACCCCAACACAATTCAGTCCGTGGGCTGAGCTTCCCTCGGGCTGGCAAAAGTGTGGGCGTTTCCAACCCCAGCCCGAACCCCCCAAGCCCACCCCCACGTTGCTCAGCCCCACCGCCTGGCAATCACTTTGTGCATCAGGCTACTCAGCCCCGGCATCATTTGATCAACTGCTCTTACAGTTCGCTTGAGCCTGGCACGCACAGTGCTTACAATTACTCTCCACAGTCATGCAGGAAAGGGCAGACATAAAGTTTGCAGACCTTTCACAAATATGTTGTGTAAACCTTTCTCAAACTCTTGCTCCTGGGATATCAGCATGTCGGAAACTATATTTCATCACACCTTCAAAAGGGAGGTACGCTGCACGGTGCTCCACGCCAAACTGATACTGTCTCGACTCACATTCTTGCAAAAGAGTGAGGGACGTGCTCAATTTCCAATCTTGACGAAAACTGCTTCTGAAGACGTGCTTGGTTCAGATCCTCTCCCGCTGCCATCTTTAGGCATGGGACACACTCTGTGCCGGGTCTCCGGGCGAGTGGCCACGTCCCGCAAAGGTTCCAAGCGCTTTCGCTCCTGGCTTTGGTCGGGAAATGCTTAATTCACTTAATTCACCCAGCATGCCACGTCCTCGCCGGAGGCCACACTGGCAGGCAAAGAGCCTTGCACTGCAAGGAGACCGCAGGGCCTTACGAAGCACGTCATGTCACGTCCCAAAGCCTAAAGCACTCAATCAGCCACTTTCGGCATTCTGGACAAATGGCGGAGGCGAGCCCAAAGCTGCCAGCCGGCTGCAAAGGTCCTTGCGACCGCGACACGAGCAATGTATAAATCTAAACCGACTTGACTCGTTGGCCCGACTCCAAATACCAAGACCGGCACAGGGTAACCGTTCGGATCCGAGATGTTCACAACCAACGCCACAGCCGCAGCTGAGCAGCCTCAAGGTGGCGCAAGCTAACAGCCAGCTCGCGCTTCGAGATGCTTCAACTTCTCTGAGATGCTCTGGGGGGCGCTCTGGGGGGCTGGCCAAAATATGGCAGCAGAGCTACATATCTCTCCTAGCGAATTCTCCGCTGCACGTTGCCATGTCAGAATTCTAAGCTGAGAGCATCTGCAGGAAACTCGATGAAATCAACCACTGCTGAAAAGGCATTGTGTTGGCACGCCTCGCCGGCACCAGAGACTCAGAGACTCGACCGCTTGCCCACTGAGGCTCCCCGCAATCTTCCGCGTCTGCACTCCATCCGCAAGTTCCTGCGCGGATTACAATATCGACCCCCGTTACGCTTTGACTTTGCCTCGTAGGCAGCTCCATCTGCGGCATCATTCAAGGCGGCGCGCAACAGGGTAGATTTGCCCGCCCCACGACTGCCAATCACCAGGACCTGTGCCAAACGCCGAACATGCTCATAGCTGCCACCTGCGACATGAAGCACGTACGGACAGACCGTGCCTGGAACGAAACCAAGGCCTGCGTTTCCCTTGCCATGAACTACGGGGCAACACCCAGTGTAAGAACCTGATTGCACTCGTGGAACGAGCGAGGATGCTTGAGGGCTTTGTGCTGTGTGCATGTCTGGAATTCTGGCGGGCAAGCCTCGAGTTCATCCCTTCCAAGCTTGTGGCGGGCAGAGGGTGAATCATAGCTCTCCGAAGACTTGCAGCAAAACCCGCTGCACCGCACATCGTTTGCGCGAGCAAATCCATGGACCATCTTTGGGCCCATTTTAGGTCATTTGCGTCGTTTGGCCGTTCACCACTCCAAGCCCCCGTCAAGTTCGAAGGGAACACGTCGCCTCGAGAGGGCTTGGAAGCTCGGCATCGGCTCGGCTCATCCGCTGCAGAAGACGTCCTCGCTGACAACGAGCCAGGCGATGCGGTCCATGTGGCTGGCGGCATTCTCCAGTGCTCGGATGGCCACGGTCACCCGGGCCTGCGTATCGTGGAGGATGCTGGGCTTCGACTCCGACTCCGGCTTCGACTTCCGGCGCATCACGGGGATTGAGCGGGTGAGATCCAGGTACAGCTCATCCCGCGCCTCGGGCTTTGCCTCGGGCTTTGCCACGGTTTTAGCATCCAGCTCCACGTTCAGAGGCGTTTCTGAGGTATGTCTCAAGGTCAAGAGCAACGCCTCCATCAGATGTCGCTGGCAGAGCTGCTCAGCCATGGGCTGCAGGATCGGGCTGCTGCTGAGAGGCTGAAGAATGTCAGACACGAGCTCATCACCCCACCCCTGGTTCGCACAGGCAGTGAACAACATGTTGAACTCAGCGAACATGTCTCGGAGGAGCCTCACACTTTGCTGGTAGAGTCTCAGGTTGAAGGGCGTGGACCAGTTTGGGGCCAGCTGCTTGCTAGGATCGGCTGATTCAGCTAGCGTGCTTGCCTCAAGCAAAAGACTTTCTACTGCCAAGGCTTCTTTCATCTTGGCGATGTCACCGTCAAAGAACCCACGGAAACCATCAGTCAGCGCATCCATAGCCGCTTCCAACTTGCGCACAGCCAGCTCTCGTGCTGAAGTTCTATGGAGTGAGGACTCCAACACAAACTGCAGCGTGATCGCCACGGTGACTTGACCGATCTCCTTGTAGTGTGCCGCGAAGTCTTCTTGGGCCTGCAGCCAAACAGTCCAAACAGTCCAAGGCAGCAAGCCATCAAGCAGAGTCCAAGGCAACCTTCGCATGCAATGGCATGGCTGAGTCCTGCCTCTGAAGAGCAAGGAACCATCAGGGGATAAACCCCGTAGCCTGCGACCAGTACTGCGATATAGCTGAAGGTGCCATTGCAGAAGTACACGTATCCGCCACAAGCCACAAACAAGAAGATGGTGATCACTTGGAACACGCCACGCTCGAAAGACCTTTGCCGGAATTCCAAGAATCGAGAGAGAGAGAGAGAGTGGCACGAGAGTCTCTGAGGCAGGGCAGGGCTGCTCACTCACGGGAATACAAATATTACGCTATACTATTCATCAATTTCAAACTATGAATCAGCAAGGTTGAAGCCCCGAGTATTGCAGCTGCGGAGCAAGAATTGGTGGCACTTGCTCTATTGGGGGCTTCCGCTGAATCATTTATGAATATGTTGTTTATGTACGTTATCATCAATATAAACAAGAGGAACATTCTTGCTCACTGTCAAATTGGATCGGATGTGCTATTCCATTCCTGAGGCCTGCGCTCGCAGGGATAGACCAGCCAGCATGCCTTGAGCAGGATCGGCCAGAACTTCCCCAGCAGTACACCCAACGTGCGTTGAAGATTTTTCTGAAACGCGGAGCCAGAGAAGCGCGTGATGAGAAGCCTCGGCTTGCGGTTTTCCGGAACCGACCCGAGAACAGAACGGTCAAGTTCGAGCTCTGAGCCGCTGACGCCAGCGTGCTGGGCATGGTGGTTGAGTACTGGGTGAAGACTGAGATGGTTGGAACCCAATATGCCAGAAGAAAGCAAACACTGATGGGGATCCAGTTTCGGAGGACAAACTTGACGTGCTCCCGCTCGAAAACCTTGTCGGGTGCCCAAGTGTCGCTCCACCCAACCTGAATGTACCTCCACCATTTCCTTCCGCAGCTGCGCTTCTCTTTCTGCTCTACCACGGTGTCAGCAAGTTGCTCCACCGTGCACGCCCAGTAGGACAAACAACACAAGAAGTTAATCTCCTCCGCCAAGTTGGAGGATATGCCAGACCCATGCCAGTTTCTTCGAAATGCCACTACCAAATCCATCTGTGCTTTTTGCACCTCTGCTTTCAACTGTTGAATGCTGTCCTCCTCATCTGCTGTAATGATACCATCTATAACTCCCTGTGCGCACGTGTCTGTCAGCAGCCTGGCTTTGTCATAAAGCTCTCGGATATCTTTCTGCATGATCTCGCAGAATTGCTTGTGTTGTCCTTGAAAGTCCTCATGCAAGATGCAGTTGCTGAGGCTTTGCAGTATTCGCTGAACACCCTCCGCACCTACGCAAAGCACAACTGTGAATGTCGCAAGACAACCGCATGACTAGCGCGTGTAACTTACTCTTTGATCAACGACAAGTAAGTCCAACCATGTGCGTGCCCCTGTCACAGGAAACACCGACACTAAACTGGTGGCACCGCGCTGAAGCCATGTGCACCTCGAATGAAGGTCTTCAGCTTTCTGCGGACCATCTCCCCCTCTCCACACGCGCATGTCTCCCACCATGCTTTTTCCACCTCAGAATCGAGCAACACGTCAGTGCATCTCTCGAAACATAAACCCTCACCTGAAAACCTGGAAACATCTGGAAACCCCAGCCTGTTCTTTTGTGTCAGCCAGCTTCTCTTTCACCAGGTCAATTTTACGCTGCAGCTGGAACTTCTTTGCGGATGGCTCAGGGCCGCACAGGTAACTCAGCCGACGGCACGCATCCATATGCTTCAGAATCTCTCGATGCAAGTGCAGTCAATCGGGAACAATGAAGTCTGTGAGAAACGTTCGTGCATGTCAATCTATCAAACGATTGGAAACGCGCAAACTGACTGCCTGAGTCCGGCACTTGATACATTCCAGCCAAACATCGCAAATGCTGTCAGCGCAGGCCTTGCAATTTTCTGGTATCCAGACTCGGTTGGCCAGTGGCGGCAAGCACACCAGTATCCGAGGGATGATAGTGGCCAGGATTGAAATGAGAGCTCCGAACATCGTTGTGACCATGATGTCCGATACCAAGTTGTCAATCCACCTGAGGTTGAATCCAGACAGTTTTTCAAAGAAGCCTTTGCTTCGCCGCTTTTTGGGGTTCATGAACTCCATCATGAACGCACAATGCCAAGACATCCCGAACTTGATGGTATTTTCATCGGCTCTGGAAACTAGGAAGAGGAAGAGGACAAGAAGCACATCCAGAATGCAAACCGCTTCGTTGTACGGTTGCGGTGTGCAACCAGTGCTTGCGCACTGAGCTCCATAGGCTCCTTCTGGGTAAAGGCAAAGCATCAGCTGCAGGTTGAGGCAAGCACACGCAGTTCCAACCAGGCCCTGCCAGGATAAGCGGACCGTATCACCAGTGCTGACAAAAACAGTGAACACGATGAATTGGGCCATGTTTGGCCAGTAGTCCTCCCACAAAGGTGGAAACATACCGCACCAAACGTCGTTGGGGTTGCGCTCGTCACTCCACGGACCCATATCCGGCTTCCAGTGAACCATCTCTGGGCTTCCCGAAGTTCCAACATTTGTCATCTTGCCGTAGGCAGTGTCAGCACAATCCAAGCTACGATATGTTTCGTGTAGCTTGCCACGCACTCCGAAAAACCAGTAATGTACATGTCCCATGGCCACAGGAATGCTCAGCAGCGCGACCCAGAAAGCCACCGAGAGCGCAAGCGAGAGGCGCAGCACGAATTTGCGGTGAGCGGAGAGCATCGATTTGGTGGTCTGCCGCACTTTGTCGACATTCACGACATCTAGCCATGAATCGGAGACGGACTCCTCAGACTCGTCTGAGCTGTCCACCGGCAGCTCTCTGAACCTAAACTCCATGCCATACGCTTCTACGCTTCGTTCCAAAGTTTTGAGCCTTGGGCAGCCATCCACCATGCTCGCACTGCAATGCTTCTGACGTCTCAAAGCACCCAGATTCATGTCCATGAACAACGCATTGCAACCCTGAGGTAATGACTCTTGCACAGCCCAGCCATTCAAAGGCGTCGAAGGATTTCCTCCAAGCACCTTAAGGGCTCGCTTTTCGGCTACCCTTAAACAAAAAACGATAATTTTGCATCTAGCATGAGCTGAGGTGGGACCGCTGGGTATGTGCCATACCTGCCAGGAATACACCAATCAAATCTCTTCTGTGTATTGCAAGAACGCCACCCGCAGCCATCTAGGTTCAATACCAATTTGCTGATTCGGCTGAAACCCATCAGGCTGAAGCCAACTGCAACTTCGCGCCCCAGGCATGGACGGCGAGGATCAAGAGCAGCCGCTTTTCCAGACAAATCCGTTGAGTCGATGGAATTCACCGCAAATTCACCACATTCTGCCTTCAGGCCCATGGGGCACTCTTGACTCCGGAAAGCTGTACGATGGACTGTACAAGGAGACGAGCTTCAAGGTGCCAAGGTTGCACGCCCGGATTAGGAAAATGCGCCAGGACACATGCCCGGCAAGCCTCCCAATGCCTTAAGGCCGTCTTCAGACTTCAGGCCGTCAATTTGTCTCGCTTCCATCGGATTCAGAATCACTGTCCTGGCCCCGTGCCATGGAAGAAATCCCAGGCTGGACAAAAGGGCGAAGCTCGCTGCGCAGTCTGCTTCGTTTGTTTCGTTTGTTTCGTTTGTTTCGCTTGTTTCTGTATTTCCGGGACTTGAGGCAGCTGCGGGAGGGGCAGAGCGAAAGGCTGCTGCCATGTCCCGATAGTGAGCGGTTCGCTTTGACCTGCCCGCAAGTATCAGGAACTCAGTGGAAAACAATCGCGGCGCGCCTCCACTTCTCGTCCTTCGACGGGTCGTCACCTGAGCCGTGGCCGACGAGGCTCCGAGCTTGGACTCTGCACCCGTCCTGGATGGTCCCCGTCGACGCGGGTATCCACCTGCAAAAAAAACATCGCACAAAATGATTGCGCTTTCGTTGGCGGAGTGCTCTCGAATTTGTGTTCCATTGAGTGTTGAGGAGGAGGAGAGGTCCCGCCCGACATGCTGTCGATTTCAGGGTTGGTTTGCGTGTCTGCTTGTGTGTGTGCGGGCAGAGGGGCACGGGGGTACAGGGACACACAGAGACGCACAGAGACACACAGAGACACACGAGACACAGAAGACACACAGCGACACACAGCGACACACAGCGACGCACAGGGGCACACAGAGAGACACACAAAGGAAGAGACACAGAGACACAGAGACGCACAGAGACACACAGAGACACACGAGACACAGAAGACACACAGCGACACACAGCGACGCACAGGGGCACACAGAGAGACACACAAAGGAAGAGACACAGAGACACAGAGACGTACAGAGACACACATAGACACACGAGACACAGAAGACACACAGCGACACACAGCGACGCACAGGGGCACACAGAGAGACACACAAAGGAAGAGACACAGAGACACAGAGACACACAGAGACGCACAAAGACACACAGAGACACAAAGACACAGAGACACATGCACAGACACACACACACAGAGACACACACACACACACAGACACACACACACACACACAGACACACACACACACACACAAACACACACAAACACACACACACACAAACACACGCGCACAGACATCCTGTTGTTTGATGGATCATTTGCTGGTTCCTTGTAGCGAGATTTACCACTCCTGCACTCATGTTGAGTTTGATTTGCCAACAAGTGAGCCTCGAGTGCGTGTGTGTGTGTGTGTGTGAGCATGTGCGTGCGCATGTGCGCATGTGCGTGTGCCTGTGTGTGCTCGTGTGCGTGTGTGGGTGCGCAAGTGTGTGTGTGTGTAAGAGAGTGTGTGTGTGTGTGTGTGTGTCTGTCTGTCTCTGTCTCTGTCTCTGTCTCTGTCTCTGTCTGCGTCTGTGTCTGTGTCTGTGTCTGTGTCTCTGTGTGTGTTTTTGTGCGTGTTTGTTTGTTTGTTTGTTTGTGTGTGTGCGCTTGTGTTTGTGTGTGTGGGTGTGCGCTTGTTTGCGTTTGTGCGTTTGTGCGCGCGCGTGTGTGTGTGTGTGTGTGTGTGTGTGTGTGTGTGTGTGTGTGTGTGTGTGTGTGTGTGTGTGTGTGTGTGTGTGTGTGTGTGTGTGTGTGTGTGTGTGTGTGTGTGTGTGTGTGTGTGTGTGTGTGTGTGTGTGTGTGTGTGTGTGTGTGTGTGTGTGTGTGTGTGTGTGTGTGTGTGTGTGTGTGTGTGTGTGTGTGTGTGTGTGTGTGTGTGTGTGTGTGTGTGTGTGTGTGTGTGTGTGTGTGTGTGTGTGTGTGTGTGTGTGTGTGTGTGTGTGTGTGTGTGTGTGTGTGTGTGTGTGTGTGTGTGTGTGTGTGTGTGTGTGTGTGTGTGTGTGTGTGTGTGTGTGTGTGTGTGTGTGTGTGTGTGTGTGTGTGTGTGTGTGTGTGTGTGTGTGTGTGTGTGTGTGTGTGTGTGTGTGTGTGTGTGTGTGTGTGTGTGTGTGTGTGTGTGTGTGTGTGTGTGTGAACCGTCCTGGAACACGGACGTTAAGCAGGGGGACTGGAGCCGATTTGCCTATCCAGTCCAATGAAGCTACGGCATTTCGGTGGATACCGGATCTGATCAATCCGGCGTACCTGCCTATTTCATGACCCTCTTTCCTGATTCCTTTGCGGTTTCTGTTTGTCGCTGTTGCTTCCTGTTCGGTGTCGATGTTGTGACCTGTTGATTTGCATTTGCATTCAAGCATTTTTACTGACTGCGTTTTTCATCTCGGCTAGTGAAGCCTCTCGAGATAAGTGTGTTTACCCACGGCCTGTCCGACATGGCGCTGTGGGCTGGACTCGCCACATGCGGGAGCCCCCTGCGAGGGGAAGACCGTTCATCGTTCAAATTCAACCTGCCGTTCAGCGCGTTTGACCACGATCAAGGCTGCAGCTTGAGGTCTTAAGGTATTCCGCACCCAAATGGTGCTCTGCTGGTTTCATGCGCGTTGCACTGCCTGCACTGCCTGCCTTTGAAGCAAGGCTGCACCCACGAGGTTTCAGGTTCCTAAGCTTCATGCGCCAGTGACGAGTTGGTCATACACCAACTCTGCAATTCGTGGTGTTTATGGAAGCTTTCGTCTCGGATGAGTTCAGTTCAGATTCATGAGTTCAGTTCAGATTCATCGGCATAGCCACATGAGGCACTTTCATGAGGCCACTTGACAGGCACCTCTGAGAACCCCTTTGTGCTCGCATGCATTTGCACCATTGACGCCTTGCGAAACCTTTTTCCGTTGCCGCGGGGTTTTTTGTCGGTCCCCCGGTGGAATTCCCTCGGTTTGGTTTTGTGCGCTCGGGTTTTTCGTCCTTGAAAATGTTTTGCTGTTGCCGGGGGTTTTTGGAGGTCCCCTGGTGGAATTCCCTCTGCTTGGTTTTGTGCGCCCGGTTTTTTGTCCTTGAAATTCTTTTGCTGTTGCCGCGGGGTTTTTGGCGGCCCCCTGGTGGAATTCCCTCTGTGTGGTTCGTGTCCGCCCCGCCGGGGCCTTGTGTGTGTGAAGCGTCCTTTTTGTGGAATTCCCTCTGTGTGGTTCGTGTCCGCCCCGCCGGGGCCTTGTGTGTGTGAACCGTCCTGGAACACGGACGTTAAGCAGGGGGACTGGAGCCGATTTGCCTATCCAGTCCAATGAAGCTACGGCATTTCGGTGGATACCGGATCTGATCAATCCGGCGTACCTGCCTATTTCCTGACCCTCTTTCCTGATTCCTTTTGCGGTTTCTGTTTGTCGCTGTTGCTTCCTGTTCGGTGTCGATGTTGTGACCTGTTGATTTGCATTTGCATTCAAGCATTTTTACTGACTGCGTTTTTCATCTCGGCTAGTGAAGCCTCTCGAGATAAGTGTGTGTGTGTGTGTGTGTGTGTGTGTGTGTGTGTGTGTGTGTGTGTGTGTGTGTGTGTGTGTGTGTGTGTGTGTGTGTGTGTGTGTGTGTGTGTGTGTGTGTGTGTGTGTGTGTGTGTGTGTGTGTGTGTGTGTGTGTGTGTGTGTGTGTGTGTGTGTGTGTGTGTGTGTGTGTGTGTGTGTGTGTGTGTGTGTGTGTGTGTGTGTGTGTGTGTGTGTGTGTGTGTGTGTGTGTGTGTGTGTGTGTGTGTGTGTGTGTGTGTGTGTGTGTCTGTGTGTTGCTTGGTTGTGTTGGCACCCACCAAACCAAGAACTTGGAAGAGGAACAAATCCCAGCCCGCCATGTCTTTGCTTCAAACCCTTGAAATGGCCTCCATTTCCTGTCGAAGGGACGACCCCCCAAATGGCGATTGTCTGTTTGATGTCCCCTTCGACCAACCTCAAAAAAGGGGTACCCCTCAAAAAGACACCCACCAGGTTGGACAGTTTCCCAATGAGAGTTGGCTATGGTTGAAAACCGTAGCCCGCCGACTCGCGATCAAAAACGAAGACCGAGCAGAACCTGCCCGTCTGCCGTGCTCGGCCACCCACCCACAGGCGCAAGATCGACAGGTCGGACCAACCAAACAAACTCGGGTTGCACGCAAATGGAACCCCAATTTCAATGGTGTCTTTGTGGTTTTGGTTTAAAACAACCCCAAAAAGGGGTTCTCTAAAAATAGAGACACCCAAATGTCCCTGCAAATGCTTGCTTTGACTTACAAAACCCAATCCTTCGCCGAGGGATCAATCAAATTTATGATGAGGACACTCACTACGATGCCTAAGAAAATGCCAAACGAAAAGATCTGCAGGTTCCGCTTTGGAGGTTACCGCCTGCGTAACTTACTTGAGAAGCAATCAGCCATCAAGAAACAGGCCCTGTGTTGTGACGTGAACCTGTCAGACAAGTCAACCTCTCTCACCCCTGCGTGTCCCTTCGTTTCCCTTGGACCTTGGGCAATGTGGCCTGAGGTGTCCAATCACCTGAAGGAAAAACTTGCTTTGGGCCCCTTGCATGTCTCTCCCTCACCTCTCCTACGCCTCTCCCATCGCCTCTCCCATGCGGGGCCAGTGTGCCAAGCGGCGTTTTGTGCTGGGCTACTGATCAGCTGGCCCAGAACCTCCTGGCACGTTCGTAGCTACCAAGCTTGCAAGATCTCGCAGCACCTGACAAATATCTCATCGGAAGGACTTACAAGTCAATGCTGACCTGCTACTATTGAGCGCCCACGGGTTCCAGCAAAGGAGACCCGAAGTGGGACTCATGTGTCCGTGCCTACCAATGAACTGGATCCGCGAATCGAATCGTCCTTACGCTCATGGTGCTTGCCTTTCAGGCCGACATGATTCAATCGACATGATTCAAGCCGGAAGTCTCGTTGATGCGAGGCCCTGTCAGAGCCCGATGGGCCCTGTAGCGAGCGGCTGAATCCCAACGCAAATAGAGGGAACCGGCTCATGAGAGCTCAGACTTTCCATGCAAAACAGTTCAACATGAGGTCGAGGGCAACCAAGACCAAAAAAAAAAGGCGCCATCTGCCGCCAAAGCAGTTGACCTCCATCATCGTTGTTTGACAAAATTAAGATGAGCTCCGCTGATGGCTCAAAAAAATCATTTGCAGGAGGCGCCTGGGTTCTACTTCACCACCAAGGCTCGGGTCCAAAAGGGGCAAACCTCCAAACACCAACCTTTCGTGCCCCTCCACGCCATCTCTCCACCCCCAAACCCCTCCCCACAACCCCCAAACCTCCCCTCCCCACAACCAAAAACAAAAACAACGAAACCCCCAAACCCAAAAAAAAAAACGAAACCTCCAAACCCCCCTGCCCCACAACCCCCCCAAACAATAAAAAAACCCAATCCTCCCCCTCCCCTCCCCCCGCCTTGCTGGCGCTTGGCCACCCCAGCTCCGTCCGGTTCTTCCGGCCCTTCGGCGGCTCCAACTCCCAGGACGACACCCGGAAGTGCCTCGCTCAGTCGCTCCCACCCCACAGCCTGCGGTCCGGAAAAGGAAA